TGTGTATGTTTGTATATATGCTGTGTGTGTACCTGTGGTGTGTTTGTATATATGTATGTGGTGTGTAGTATGTGTGTGCGCGCATGTAGTGTGGTGTGTGTTTGTGGTGTGTACATGTATTTGTGGTATGTGGTGTGTGTATGATGTGTATGTGCATGTGTGTGGTGTGTGCAGTATATGTGTGTTTACACTGTGTAGTATGTGTATCTGGTGTGATGTGTTTATGTGTGTGTATGGTATTTGATGTTTGTGTGTGTGGATCAGAGGACCCTGCCAATTCTTTCTTTATACCTTGCGCCCTCAGATTCTCAAGCTGAGGCCGTTGGTCTTGGTAGCAGTCACTTTTACCCTAACCTACCTCACAGGCCCTGATTCTTCTACCTTTTGTATCCAGAATACTTTTTTTTTTTTTGATCCCACCAAAGCAGCAGCAAGAGCTGCCTTGTGCTTGAGTGTGTTCCCTACAGCGCCTAGAGCTCCAGCCTGAGTGGATTCTCCTGCAGAGCCCAGCCTGACCGCCGGGTCTGCCTCTTGTGCATTCTGATTGGCAGCTGAGGGAAACACAGACCAAAAGAACACTGAGACCTCATCTTACCGCAGCCAGCATGGCTAAGGTCAACAAAACAACCAGCCAGAGTCAGAGAGGGACACGCTGTTGGTGGGAATGTAATGCAAACCCACCGACTACGGAAATCAGTCGGGAGAACTCCGAACCAGCTAAAAATAAATCTAACTCATGACCCAGCTGCCCCACACCTTGACTTTGCCTGAAGGACTCAACGCCTGACTGACTGTACACTTAATTGTCAGCCATTTGCTCTACTCACAGCAGCTAGGATGTGGGTACAGCCTAACGCCCTTTAACACATGGATAATTGAAATACAGCACATGTCCACTAGGGGGTGCTGTTCAGCTCGACAGAAAAATGAAATCGTGAGCTTTGCCGGTCAATGGATGGAACAAGGGAATATCACGTTGAGTGAGGTAACCCAGACTCAGACAGACAGACAGACAGACAGACAGACAGACATGGTGTGCTCTCTCTCAGCTGACTCTCCTAGCTCCAGAGCTTCAGATGTGAGCCCACAGCCTCAGTAACTACAGAGCAGAAAGGTAGAGGGGACCATTGCCAGGGTAGGAAGGGGTCTGGGGGAAACAGAGAGGGGAATAGTGGGGTACAGCCTTCGGGGGGATGGTGAAAATGGGGGCCTCCAATTAGGCTTGGGAGGGAGGTAAAGAAGAAGGGGGTAAAACAAGCTCAAAGATACCTGAAAAAGTCACAATGCGTCATGATATCGGCTACATACAATTAACCAGGCGCTTGTGTGTGTAAACACTCCGAAAGCTAAGCCACACTCTCAGCCTGAAAATGAACGGCCCAATCTGAAGCCATTCGGCTGTCCTCCTTGTCTCCCCCCAAAGTCAGAGCAGGAGGCCTCCAGGTCCTACCTGGATCAGAGACCTCATGTTGGCAAAGTGTGTGTCCATGGCGCCTCCATGGGGGAAGTTTTGGTTCATCCTCTTCATCAGCTCCGTGAAGCAACTGAAGGCCAGGGCCTCTGGGGATAGCGCAAGACAACGGGTTAGCCAGGCCACAGCCTCAGGCATTGGAGCTCCTGAAGAGATAGTGTAAGGCCCTCAGCAGAGTCCACAGCCACATGAGAGGAAGCCAGGCAGGAAGGGCCCAGTGGAGGCCATTTCCTCAGATGCTCGCCCTTAGTGGGTCACAGATCTCATCTTAGAGCCACTGGGAGGAGCAGCTCCTTCAGACACAGAGGCTCCTTTTAAAGATCCCCACTGGCTGTGACACAAAGCCCACACTGCTTTGTTGGTACCTGTACTGGTTGGATTTGTGTGTCAACTTGACACAAGCTGGAGTTATCACAGAGAAAGGAGCCTCCCTTGAGGAAATGCCTCCATGAGATCCAGTTGTAAGGCATTTTCTCAACTAGTGATCAACTAGCCCATTGTGGGTGGGGCCAGCCCACTGTAGGTGGAGCCAGCCCATTGTGGGTGGGGCCAGCCCTCTGTGGGTGGGGCCAGCCCACTGTGGGTGGGGCCATCCTTGGGCTGGTGGTCCTGGGTTCTATAAGAAAGCAGGCTGAGCAAGCCAGTAAGCAGCGCCCTCTATGGTCTCTGCATCAGCTCCTGCCTCCAGGTCCCTGCCCTGCATGAGTTTCAGTCCTGACTTCCTTTGGTGATGAACAGCAATGTGGAAGTGTAAGCTGAATAAACCCTTTCTTCCCCAACTTGCTTCTTGGTCATGATGTTTTGTACAGGAATAGAAACCCTGAATAAGACAGTACCTTCTTATTCCTTCAGAAATTCTACTCATTTGGGAAGTCAGGGAGTTCAAAAGTCACGGTCAACCTAGCAAGGGATCTGGTTGAAAGGTTTGTAAAGAATGGTCAAACTCCTTTGGCAAATGTTGCCTGGAATACCTGTTGACACAGATCAAGAAAGCAGGGGCTGAAGAGATGGCTTGGTGGCTAAGATCGCTGGCTTTTCCTCCAGAGGACTTAGGTGTGATTCCTGGAACTCACACACGGTGACTCACAACCATCTGTAACTCCAGTTCCAAGGGGTCAGTCACCCTTCTTTGACCTCTACTGTTAGGCACGCAGCACACAGACACATAACTCAGGCAGAACACCAATTCAGTAAAACAGGTACAAGATCTCAAACATTAAAAGTAAAAAAAGAAAAAGACTTGTGAAAAGTCTGAAAATTCCGCAGTCCAGAAGCCTGATTCATATTTAAGACAGCATTTGAAAACCTTATTTGAAAATGGTAGTTTTTCTTGTTTCTCTTGGTAACTTGGGGAAGAAAGAGGCTACTGGGAAGCTCCTTCAGGTGCTGGATCTCAGGCTGAAAGGGTTAGGAGAGATTACAGAAACTCTGAGCAGTGGATGTCGGCAGCCTGTCACCTCTGGTGCCACCACAGCCCACTTGTCACAATTACGAAGTCACCTTGACATGTCGCTGACCGCCGACTCTCATGGTGGCATGCCTCAGTTTCTCCATGGCTTCCTTATGCCCTCAAAAACCAGTGCCATCTGGAACACTCTTGTGCTTTACCAAGCTTGGCTGCCAGCCTGGGCCCACCCCGTGGACCAGGTTTTTCACGCTGTCAGAAGAAACGCTTTTCAGAAGATTTCACATGAACAATGCTGGTCTGGTTCCTCGGCTAGCCGGCATCGACTGCCCCAGCAATGTCACAAGCGTTCACCTGAAATCTTTCTTCTGAGAGTTCCGTCATTTTGGGTCTTTCTGGGAATGATTTCAAGCATGTTCCTTGTGTGTGACGTGAGCCAGGGGCCTTCCACATTTTGCACATGGATTTCCAGTCACTACAGCAGCAATAGGTTAACTGTGTTAAAATGAGTTTATGGCGTTGAAATGAATCTAAACTCTGGTCAGTCAGCAGGACATTAACTGCAAATGTTTCTTTTCAGACTCTCAGCTGCAGCCCAGACCCTATGTGCAGGCTCACCGGAGGCAACATAACTCTGTCTCTGTCTCTCTGTCCCTCTGTCACTCACTCACTCACTCACTCAATCTCTCTCTCTCTGTGTGTGTGTGTGTGTGTGTGTGCGCGCACGTGTGCATGTGTGCGTGTGTGATTGTATAACTTGTGGCAGTTGCTTCTCTCCTTTCACCACGTGAGTCCCAGGGACCAACCTCAGAGGTCCTCAGGCTTGGTGACAAAGCCTTTACCCACTGAGTAACCCTGCTGCTGCAGCTGGACATTTTGATGGGGCTTTCCGGAATCTGTAGACAGTACAGAGGACAATGCTCCTGGACAATGTCAAGCCTTCTGGTCATAGTGGGAGACATCTCCTTCTTCAGGTTTCTTCCCTTCTGTCTGACAATGTTTTATGGTGTCCAACATATAAACCACTCCCTTTATAGGTATTAGAAACACATCAGTCTTCAGGAGACATTACACATGGACTTGTTTTCTTAATTTCACGTTGGGGTTGTTCAGCTCAGCTGTGTAGACATATGAGATTTCTGCTTACTGGTCTTACGTTCTACAACCCTGGCCACCTCACTTCTGTCTTCTTATTCTTTGGATTTTCCACTTCAAGTCACATCATCTCCATCCGGGACTGCATTGATATTTGTCTCAGTTAGGGTCTTACCTATGTGAGCAGATACCATGACCAAGGCAACTCTTATAAAGACAACATTTAATTAGGGCTGGCTTACAGGTACAGAGGTTCAGTCCACTATCACCAAGGTAGGAGCATGGCAGCATCCAGGTAGGCATGGTGCAGGAGGAGCTGATAGTTCTATAGCTTCATCTGAAGGCTGCTAGTGGAAGACTGACTTCCAGGCAGCTAGGATGAGGGTCTTAAAGACCACGCCCACGGTGACACACCCACTCCAACAAGGCCACACCCACTCCAACAAGGCCACACCTCCTCCAAAAGGGCACACCTACTTCAACAAGGGCACACTTACTCTAACAAAGCCACACCTACTCCAACAAGGCCACACCTACTCCAACAGGACCACACCTCCTTCAACAAGGCCACACCCACTCCAGCCGGGCCACACCTCCTCCAACAGGGCCACATTTCCGCCAACAAGGCCACACCTCCTCCAACAGGGCCATTCCTTCTAATAATGCCACTCCCTGGGCCAAGCATATACAAACCGTAACAATAATTTTAATTCCTTTCCAATTGTTCCTCCTTTTCTTTTTTCTTCTTTTAACAGTTTGGCAAACCATCTCATGTAGCTCATGCTTGACTCAAATTCACTTTGGTCAAGGATAACTTTGAACCTCTGATCCTCCTGCCTCTACCTCTGTACCGCTGGGACCACAGGCATGGCCACCACACTCTGCCTGTCTTTTATAGTCAAGTGCTGGCTTATATTGATTGATGAGTGGATATTGAACCACCCTTGCATTCCTGGGTTAAGCCCCACTTGGCCATCCAGTGTAATCTTTTACATTCTGTTAGATTGAGTTTGTTGACTTTTTTTTTTTTTGGAGACTTCTTGCCTTTATACTCCTGAGAGGTACTGGTCTGACATTTCCCTGGAATGATCCTGTCTGATGTAAACATCAGGGTGTGTGTGAGGTGCCTGGCATTCTGTGAGAGCTGGCAACATCCCGATTGTCTTGCTTTTCTTCTCATTTCTTTCCTTCCTTCTTTCCTCCATCCCTTCCATCCTCCCAGACTCCCTCCCTCCCTTCATTTAAGAAAGTGCACGTGGAGAATTATTCTTCAGCCTTACACCGTTTGATAGATCGCATCCTGGGACAGCGTCTGGACCAGCTTTACTTTGTTCTCATTCCGGGTCAAACAGCGGCTCAGCCAGGTGGGCCTCAGTGCCAGGCTCGGTGGGACACAAGGACGTCTCATGCTGCTGGGGCTGGGATGTGTCCACCAGGCAGCCCTGCTATACCTCTATCCTAACCCAGTCCATGGCGACACAGGGTGAGGCTGGCCCTTCCCCTCCTACAGGCCAGGGAGGACACACTCACCATCATCCAGGATGACCAGCAGCGGGGCCAGGAGATCACACATGCCCTGAACGTAGCCGATCTCAATGTGCTGCCAGATGTAGCTGCAGGAGAAACGGCGCCATGAGTAGGCCACGCCCTCTGTCCCCGCACAGCCTGCCCTCTCCTGAGTGGCTTCTCCACCCACTCCGTGGGCCACGCCCTCCGTCGCTGCACAGACTGCCCTCTCCTGGCCGGCTTCTCCACCCACTCCGTGGGCCATGCCCTCCATCCCCGCACAGACTGCCTTCTCCTGGCAGGCTTCTCCACCCACTCCTTGCTGCTTTTTCCCATCTGGTCCTCCATTTCTCAGCCTGATGTCCACTCTCAGTGTCATCATATATCCAAGGTGCAGCCATCACGGCAAACATGCCCAAGGGGGCATCGCAGAGCACAGGACTCTGCAGGTGCCCCGTCACCCTGAGGTGTGGTCATGAGTGCATGCGATCAGAGTGTCCTCAATTCCTCCACTCAGCCCCACACATTTCTTCCAAGCGCCTCTTCTCTGGCTACACGGAGGAAGCAATCACTTTGCACAAACAAGTGACTCAAAATCTCTAGGGATTTCCCTACTGATTCTGTAAAAAATATGGATCCATCCCCGTGAAAAATAGCTTTGGACCTCTGGTCTAAGACAATACACTCAGCCCTGTGTGCACCTCAAATCTTTCAATCTTTCAAAATGGTCACGTGAAGCATGTCTCATTAAGAGTACATTTCTCAGGGGAGGAGACAGAGGTACAGAGAGGCAAAGGACGTATGCAAAGTCAGTGTGGTAGTTCTAATTGTCACATTGGGAAGAGAGTTGTCTACGCAGCATTGGCTGGCAGAGCTGTCTAGGGGAGAGCAGGGAACTGTCTTGATTACATATTAAACGATATAGGAAGACCCAGCCCACTGTGGGTGGCTCCATTCCCTAGGCAAGGAATGCTAGACCCTGTAAGTTTAAAAGGAGCTGAGCACAGGAAGCATACACAGGTCGAGGTTTTGTCTTTTACCATCTACTGTAATGCTAAGTGCGAGATCCCAAGATCCGGGAGTCTGCACATAACCTCTTGGCACCCTGCCTCAAGTTATTTGTGATTGGTGAATAAAGATGCCGACAGCCAATAGCTGGGCAGAAGAGACATAGGTGGGGCTGAGGTTTCCTGGGCTTGGAGGAAGCAGAAGAAGGTGCGAGAGAGGGAGGGAGAAGCTGCCATGGGTTAGGACAGCCATAAAAACATGGCCCTGTGGGTTGTCCAATTGGAGCTAAGAGCAGCCTAGATGAAACACAGTGATAATTCGGGGTTATCGATAGGAAAGTAGATTCTGACAGCATGGAGGGTAGGCAGCTGCCCAGCTATTATGCCGCTTAAGGGTTATTGTAAATAAAAAGGCTGTGTGTGTTTTTTTTTAATCTGAGAACTCAGTAACCAAAGGCGGGCGGGGTTTAAATAATTTCTATAACATGGACGCCTTTGTTCTCTCTCCGTCTTTGACTTTAAATTTGTCATATTTGATTCAGGTACTGTGAATGAAATAAAATAAAACTCCAGGTTGGTGTGGTATCAGCAACAGGGATACAAAGGGTGTTTCAGCCGGGTTTCCTGTAGGTCTGCCTTCCCCAGAGCACCCCAGTCTTATCCCCGCCCCGGATGTTTTCCATCCTCTCCACTTCCCATCGCCCGCCCCTCCATCATCCCATCCCCCTTCCTCTCATCCCTATTCCCCCACACTGCCCCTCCCCCACACTGTCCTCCCCCACATTACCCTTCCCTACGCTACCCTCCCCACATTGTCCTCCCCCACGCTACCCCTCCCCTCCAGCGGCCACAGCCACCTGCACATGATGTTCCTCAGCTTCTCCAGGTTGGCAGCCGTGAAGTACCAGTAGCTGCGGTCGCACCTCTGCACGTCTTTCTCGATGCGGTGCAGGTTCACCGTGTACAGGTCCAGTAGCTCTGGCTGTGGGCGGGAGGAAAAGGAACAGAACGCTGACCCTCAAGAACCGTTCCCAACGCTCACCTCCCAATCACTCAGTCTGGGGTTCGATTCGTTCTGTTTGTTTCCTGTGAAAGGTCTGTTGAGTTTGCATGATGAAAAGGTATTCTCTTGAGACCGGGTCTCAGGATGTAGCCCAGGCTGGCCTTGAACTCATAATCCTCCTGCCTCAATTCCCATAGTGCTGGGATTATAGGCAGACACGTGTGCTCTTATGTGGATGTGTGTAACACACACACACACAAACAGAGAGAGAGACAGAGACAGAATATTAAACACATTTAATGCATTTAAAGATGATGCTAACCTGTCTCCTCAGTGCTCAGGAGACTACGGCAGGAGGATTGCTGTCAGTTTGAATGCGGGTTACAGAGTGAACTTAAGGCCAGCCTGGGCTGCATAACAAGCACCTAAGACACGAAATAAAACAAAGGCACCAAGACAAGAAACTAGATTCCTTGGTATGGAATCTGGGTCCCTCTGCCTACAAGACTTTACTGACTGATCTATGTCCCCAGTCCCTAAAATAGAATCTTAAAAATTGCTGAAAGGGAGAGAAATCTTCTTTAAGTTAGGCTTTAAGTTAGGCTTCCCAACACCAAAGACAGACTAGGAAAGAGTAGATTCTCTGAAGGGCAGGTACTCCTTGCCTTGTAATAGGGTTACCGTGAAGAAACTCAAAAGTTGCAGTAAAGTTAAAAAAAAAATGTGTGGACTTCACCTAACCTATGAGCATCCCAGCTGAGGGCATAGTGCCCCACAGAGAGTCAGAAGTTCCCTTCAGATGGTGTGGCCCAGGGAGCTTTAGTCAGAGGGTTGCCCCTCTCTGCATGGAGAAATCATACCACAAATGTCAGTGCAGGGAAAGATCTGGATGTCAAATTTAAAGTCTGCTTCCCACAGAATACATTCTTTCTCATCGTGGAGTTGAAAACCTGGACTTGCACCATCACATACGAGGGGACATCTGTTCTAAGCAAACATGGCGGCCGTGCGGCCCTGTACCCTGCAAAGGGAGGTGTCAGGAACAAGGGAGGGGATGTCATTCAGGGTGAATATGGATGAGGGATCTTCCTAAAAGATTCTTCAGCAGCTGAGTGATGGCTCAGTCAGTGAAGTGTTTGTCTGGCATCATGAGAACCCAAGTTCAGTGCTTCCTGGAACCCATTTAGAAAGCCAGGCCTGGAGGCACATGATTGTTGTCCCAGAGCTGAGGAAGAGGAGGGAACAGGAAGACCAATGGGGCTTGCTGCCTGGCTGGACAGCCTGGTGGAATTGGCAAATTACTGGCCCATGAGAGGCGCTGTCTCAACAACAGTAGAAGGATGGTTTCTCAGGAACTGCACCCAAGCATGTCTGGTGGTGTTCACACGTACTCCCCATAAGCTCTTGAAGGTCCCCACACCCGATAACACCCAATACCAAAGATACAGAGAAAGAACCACAGAATAGGCAGGGTCCCAGCCCTGCAGCCTGTGTGATGTCACATGGGATGGGAACTATAGCCTGTGGAAACTACTTCAGCGTGTGTTCTGACAAAACAAGGAAGACTTCATACGAGAGAGAGAGAGAGAGAGACAGAGAGAGAGAGACAGAGAGACAGACAGAGACACAGAGGGAAGGAGGGAGAGGGAGAGGGAGAGGGAGAGGGAGAGGGAGAGGGAGAGAGGGAGAGAGAGAGAGAGAGAGAGAGAGAGAGAGAGAGAGAGAGAGAGGCACTGCAGCCCGCCCACCTCCCAGACTCTGCACCAGAGAGAATTACAGCCATCCAGAGTAACAGGAAGGGGCCCTGCCTCAGTATTTCACTGTCTCTTCACTCCTCCTGCCCCGTGACCTCTCTGTCTCTGCCCGCTCTACTGCCCAGTTGGCTGCAGCGATGTCAGAGAGCCAGACAGAGCAGAGGCCTCAAATACACAAAGGCATGTCGACTATCTCTGGCTAGCATCTGCCTTTGCCATGAGCATATGCCCAGGTTAGCCTGCTGAAGGATGAAACATGGACCAGAAACATAGGCTAGCCCCCCAGTACCCAAGCTTGACAGCAGACAGCAGACTGAACCACGCCCTACCCAGCTTGGGGCAGAGCTTCCTGGTTGACCCACAGACATATGTATGTGTAGAGCACAGTGTTGAGGAGTGAAAGTCACTGACTTCAGGTAACTGCTTGCCACAGAGCCTGGATGTGTGAGGCAATGACTGACAGACACATTGTGGTGAAAGTGCGTCTATCTGAGCTTTCTGTTAGACTCTTCTGATAAAGTCTGTGAAGGCAGAGGCCAGCCTTAGCTATCAGAGGCCAAGATCATCTCTGAGGAGGCTCCAGGGAACAGCCAGGAAGCAGAGGCTCTGGGAGGGGACTTGTCCCAGCCAGGAGAAGGGATGGGACCAGACTTCCTGGGTCCTAGCCTGGCAAGCCCTTCCTGTGAGCCCCCATGATGGAGAGAGTGAGAAAAATGGGAGCTGAGGCCTGTGACCAGCCTTGCCCTCCTCCAACAAGTGACTTACAGAGTAGGTAACACCACTGGAGGACACAGGGGACGCCTCGTTGTTGGCAGAGGAGGTCACAGCCAGAGAAGCCAGGGCGGGGAACAGGCTCTCCATCTCAGGCTCCTCAGAGAGGTTGTCCTCGCTGTCGGCTCGACCGTGCTTGTCCGCCTCACTGGACCAGCCGTCTATCATGGCGCCATCCTTCTCAGGCAGGGCCATGTCCAGGCTGCCAGGGATGGACATGAACTCCTCCAAGCTCCCATTGGCGAGGAGGTCACTCTCAAGACTGTCTTGCACTGCCAGCTCCTCCCGAGGGGCCTCGTCCCGGGAAGTGGTGGCTTCGCTGCTCTGCCCATCTTCCACGCTGCTGTCTCCAGGCCGAAATACGGCGGGGAGGCTGCGCTGGGCATCCAAGACACTGTCTTCGGTGCTAAGACTGGGCTCGGAGTGCTCAGAGAGGCCAGAGGAGAAGTTGTGGGAGGAAGGGTGTCCGGAGTCTGGGGAGCAAGTGCCATTTGCTGGGTTCCCATTGGGGATCTTGGAATGTTTTTCTTCTGACCTGCCTTCTGCCTCTGTCTGCTCCACCTCATCCACAGACTCAAATACCTGAGGAAGGGGACACACAGACATGTGAATCAGGATGCCCGTGGCAACACTGCTTACAGCAGTAATTTAATATCCAACAACAGGGGAGACTTCGGTTTGGAGTCAGCACATAGTGGAATAGCACGCAGTCAGTACAAAGGCAGTATGTTCTTTATGGCTGTCAATAATCCAAGTGCTGAGGTCACATCAGCAATTCAGCTGGCCACAGTTGGCCATAGCTGGCCCTGAGTAGGGCAACTAGGGAAATGAAGTTCGGGGGTGGGGGGTGGCATTCCGCTATGCGGACCTCTAACACTTAGATTTACTTGCCGTTCTGTGTCCTTCAGACACAGGCCTCAAGCTCACAGTAAAGATCAGGACAAAGCCTCACACTGTTTCTCCATGTGGCCGCCATCACCTTTAGTTCACTGGGTCTATTTCTGCGTTTTCAAGAGCAGGGCTGGGACCTCATCATGTGCATAGGTGTGGTGTGTGTGCACACACGCACACACACATACACAGATTATTCTACCTAGAAGGTAATATTTTGTACACATTTGGACACTTTTCATTTAAAAGTTGTTTGCGTGTGTGTGTGTGTGTCTGCATGAATTCAGGTGCCTTTGGAGTCCAGAAGAGGATGCCAGATCTTTAGGAGTAACTCCTAGTTGTGAGTACTTCTTGTGAGTACTGGGAACTTGTGTGTGTGTGTGTGTGTGTGTGTGTGTGTCTGTCTGTGCACACGAGTGCAGGTGCTCTTGTATCTCAGAAGAGGGTGTAAAATCTTCAGGGGTTACATTTGGGTGTGAGGCACCTCACATGGATACTGGGAACTAAATCTGGGTCCTCTGCAAGTGTAGTCTGTGCCCTTCACCACCGGGCCATCACCGAAGCTTGCCTTGTGCTTTTCTTTTTGTTTTAATGAGGCTCCAGGTGGAATGACGGCCAAAATCTGTCGAACAATACATCTGCTAGCGTTTATGTGGGATTTTAAGATCTACCAAGTATAGTGGTTTGAACAGGTTTGCCCCCCCAATAGACTCAGGTGTTTGGTCCACAAGGAGCGACACTATTGGGAAGTGTGTCCTTCTAAGAACAGGTGTGGGCTTCTTTGAGGAAATGTGTCACTGTGGGGTGGGCTTTGAGGCTCCTATGCTCAAGTTCTACCTAGTGAAGAAGAGACCCTCCTCCTAGTTGCCTGCAGAAAAGAGTCTTTCCTGGCTGCCTTCAGATCAAGGTGCAGAACTCTCAGCTCCTCCAGCACTATGTCTGCCTGCACGCTGCCATGATAATGGGCTGAAACTCTGAAACTGTAAGCCAGCCCCAATTAAATGTTAGAGTTGCCTTAGTTACTTATCTAAGTAAGGCATCTAGTCTTTCAATACTTTACATATTTCCTTGTATGTAAAGGTATCCAGAAGGTTCAGGAAGGCCATACAGCAGACTGATGATCTTAGTACTGTCTCAAGGGAGGATGGAGATGAAGGAGACAGAAGCAAAGTACAGGCATGTGGTTTGCTATTTTATAGGAGAGCGGGCTCCTGTTCAGTCTCTGAGTTCATAGCCACTGGGTCCAAGATTCAACCAACGCTGTGTGAAAATATCCACAAACCACTGCACCTGCGTAGACTAGGCTCAGGTGTGCGTTCTTTATTCCTAGTGACACAGCCTGATGGGTATTTCCATGTCGTTTGCACTGACTACACTGTCCGTGAGTGGTCTAAAGGCGATCTGATGAACACACAACCCCTTGTCATTAATTTACCCAGGACTTGGATCCCGGGACGCTCATGTGGGCAGGGGCTGCATCCCACCGCTGTGGGTTTCAAGGAGGCAGCAACTGCTTGTAAGACTTAGAGAGTCCACGTCCAATACTAGCCATAAAAAGCTGACCGCAACAAGCAAAGCGGCTGGTAAATGATGGACATACAAACCCTACCACCGCAGATGGGAGGGGGGGGGGCTTCCGTGGGGGGGGGGGGGCTGTTGGGGGGGGGGGGGCGGGTGTAGGGGGCGGGGCTTGTTGAGGGGGCGGGGCAGGGGTGGGGAGCAGAGCCTCTGAGAGTCACCTGTGTGCTGCTGCTGGAGTCGCTCTGCAGTCGGAGGTTCTGGCGGCCTGAGCTGCAGCTCTGTGAGGACTGAGACAGATAGGAACCAGTCGAGCAAAGACAGAAGGTCACACCAGGGGCTTCTAGATTGGGAATCCAGGAAGCCTGGTTCCATCCCTTCTCCTGGCTGGGATGAGTCCCTTTCCAGAGTCTCAGCTTCTTAGTCTCTGCTTCCTGGAGCCTCCTCAGAGACGCTCTGCTGAGCTTAAGAGCTCTGGCTAGGACTTAGGTCCTTCCTAACAGAGTCTCAGTTTTTCTGTGCTCTAACCTCCTGCCCCACCCCCCCACTCTGACGCTAGGCTCTGCTAGGTAGTTGGCTTCAGCCAGTCTACTTGAGACTGTTCAGCTAAAGTCTATGTGGGAGCAGGGGTCTGCCTCAGCTACAGAACATTCTAGATATTCCTGAAAGTACTCGCATATGGTAGGTATTCAATAAACATTATTTGAATACACGGAGGCAGATAGAACTTGATAATACGCTGTCTTCTCAGGGCTATCCCCAGACCTCCACCACTCCCACTGTCTTCTCAGGGCTATCTCCAGACCTCCACCACTCCCACTGTACAAATGCAGGAACTGAGCCCAAAAGAAAGGCTCTGCCAAGAGACTCTGTGTGCAACTTGAACCTAGATCTGATTCTGAAGTTCGCCCTCCCCTCAAAAGCTAAAGGTGTGGCTGTCCCAAGGCTCTGGCCTCTCACACCAGCGTTCTCCAAGGCCAGCTGTCCGTTACCTCATTGCTGATGGTAGAGTCCCGGTGCAGCATCCGGTGAAGGTGGCTGTCCAGGCTGGCTCCGGAAGAGCACTTAGCCAGGGCAGCCGCGTGGGATTCCCTCTCCCTCTGTCTCACGATAGCTTCACAGCCCAGCCACTCTGACATGGTTTGTGCGTAGCAGGCGTGGATCTGCTCGTCCACCTGTGGGCACGTGTGAAGGTCACAGGCGGTGCTGAACACCCTGGGCTCTGGCCTGTCCGTATGCATTTAATGTCGATGGTGTTTAACAGATCTGGACGATGTCCACGCCCAGAATACTACAGAGCAAGGCTACTTCGTCTCCGCCCTCTCTCCCTCCCTCCTTCTCAGTAATTCATTCACTCCCACAATCAGCCAACTGTTTGCATAATTTCTCTATTTCCTCTTTCCTTATCTATCAATTATTCAATCCATTTCCGAATTTGCTTATTATTTATTTAATCTGTTTCCACATTTCTTTTGATAAGTACCTGGATTGTCCCAGACACCAAGTTAAGCATATACATTACAAGACAAGCAAAATACTGCTACCCATCTACACACACACACACACACACACACACACACACACACACACACCAGTTCACCCACCCATCCATCCATCAGGTGAAGGCAATATCAGACTGCCGGATTTTCTTGTTTTCTTCAAGACTGAACCTGCCTCCACCAGTATGACCCAAGAATCTCACTGCCAGGCCATTTCCCAAACGCAGAGAACCTGCACTGGATGTCAGTTGCAGTTAGCTATTCTTAGCCAAAAAAAGTAAGTAAATAAAGGTTCGTGGCATTGCCCAGCTACCTATCAGCAGTTCAGAGGGAAGCATCGGCATATGCCCGTGGGGGGTGTTATTCTGACACTACAAGGAAACAGGTACCACTAGAACAATTTGGATGGATCTAGAGACTTGTACTGAATGAAAAAATCAATTCCCGAAGTTTCTATACTACATAACTGTTTATACAATGTTCTAGATATGAGAAAATTCTGGAAATGGAAGACAGGGGAGGAGGAGCCAGGGAACAACCCTGGGATGGAGGTGGGCGTGGCTATAGAGGGGCAGGTGAGGATTTTTGTTTGTTTGTTTTACGGTTTGTCGAGATATGGTTTCTTTGTATAACAGCCTGGCTGTCCTAGAGTCGCTTTATAGATTAGGCTGGCCTCCAACTCACAAAGATCCGCCTGCCTCTGCCTCCCAAGTGTTGGGATTAAAGGCGTGCGCCGCCACTGCCTGACTAAGGTGCGGATTCTTAAGGTACCAGTAATGCACAAGTCTCGACACATTAATAGGTACACACAGATCAGTGTGCACACATGAACACACACACTAGTGTGTATACCTGTACATAAACACCAGCATGCATATGCGGACACACACATACACACAGTTACAGGAGGATAGAGGAGCCTGAGTGCAGTGTTCTGTGACATCACAGGGCATCACAGTTCTGCTGGAGGTCATCATGGGGAAACTGAGTACAGGTCAGACAGGTCTCTGCAATGCTGCCTGCAAGGACACGGGAGTCTACATGACCTCAAAACAGGACATCAGCCTTTTTGAAAATTCTCTCGTATTTCTACCACACAGCTCTTTCCTTGATGTTCCTGTTTCTTCCCTGTGTCTCTCACCAACAAGACTGTAACAGGCAACCAGGGTTCTACAGGGCCAAGCTGTGTGGTACCCAGGTGCATGTTCAGTACCCAGGTGCACAGGGCCCAGCTGCTCAGTACCCAGGTGCAC